TTCAAGTGCGTTCAAAGTCTTTAAGCGAAGATAGATCGATTTCGATTTGCAAGCGAAAAATTTAAAAAGTGACAAGCTTTAAGATATGTGAAATATACATGCTCAGTCGTGTTTAGAATCGTTTCTTGTGGTTCGGGACATTCGCCTTCGAATGTTACATCGATGTAGAAAGCAGAATTTAAAAATCTTGAAATTTGAAAAAATTCATTCTCGACAGTTTTGTTTAAACTGCTGTATTTTTTAAAGTGTGCGACTTAAAGCGAAACGAAATTCAGTTCACATATCTATAAACGATTCTTAATAAGACTGCTGATTTGGATTTGCGTTATTTTCAATTTGAAAAAATTAATTTTTGTCAGTTTTGTTTAAACTGCTGTATTTTTTAAAGTGTGCGACTTAAAGCGAAACGAAATTCAGTTCACATATCTATAAACGATTCTTAATAAGACTGCTGATTTGGATTTGCGTTATTTTCAATTTGAAAAAATTAATTTTTGTCAGTTTTGTTTAAACTGCTGTATTTTTTAAAGTGTGCGACTTAAAGCGAAACGAAATTCAGTTCACATATCTATAAACGATTCTTAATAAGACTGCTGATTTGGATTTGCGTTATTTTCAATTTGAAAAATTTAATTTTTGACAGTTTTGTTTAAACTGCTGTATTTTTTAAAGTGTGCGACTTAAAGCGAAACGAAATTCAGTTCACATATCTATAAACGATTCTTAATAAGACTGCTGATTTGGATTTGCGTTATTTTCAATTTGAAAAAATTTATTTTTGACAGTTTTGTTTAAACTGCTGTATTTTTTAAAGTGTGCGACTTAAAGCGAAACGAAATTCAGTTCACATATCTATAAACGATTCTTAATAAGACTGCTGATTTGAATTTGCGTTATTTTCAATTTGAAAAAATTAATTTTTGTCAGTTTTGTTTAAACTGCTGTATTTTTTAAAGTGTGCGACTTAAAGCGAAACGAAATTCAGTTCACATATCTATAAACGATTCTTAATAAGACTGCTGATTTGGATTTGCGTTATTTTCAATTTGAAAAAATTTATTTTTGTCAGTTTTGTTTAAACTGCTGTATTTTTTAAAGTGTGCGACTTAAAGCGAAACGAAATTCAGTTCACATATCTATAAACGATTCTTAATAAGACTGCTGATTTGATTTGCGTTATTTTCAATTTGAAAAATTTATTTTTGACAGTTTTGTTTAAACTGCTGTATTTTTTAAAGTGTGCGACTTAAAGCGAAACGAAATTTAGTTCACATATCTATAAACGATTCTTAATAAGACTGCTGATTTGGATTTGCGTTATTTTTAATTTGGGGAAAAACTTGAACTTTTGATTTTTTCACTTACGACGCGAGCGATCGACGTACTATCATTTTCGGTATTAAAAAAATTAATTCCTTATAGTCAGGTGTCAGATTCACATTAATATATATTAAAACATATTTTCAAGTGCGTTCAAAGTCTTTAAGCGAAGATAGATCGATTTCGATTTGCAAGCGAAAAATTTAAAAAGTGACAAGCTTTAAGATATGTGAAATATACATGCTCAGTCGTGTTTAGAATCGTTTCTTGTGGTTCGGGACATTCGCCTTCGAATGTTACATCGATGTAGAAAGCAGAATTTAAAAATCTTGAAATTTGAAAAAATTCATTCTCGACAGTTTTGTTTAAACTGCTGTATTTTTTAAAGTGTGCGACTTAAAGCGAAACGAAATTCAGTTCACATATCTATAAACGATTCTTAATAAGACTGCTGATTTGAATTTGCGTTATTTTCAATTTGAAAAAATTAATTTTTGTCAGTTTTGTTTAAATTGCTGTATTTTTTAAAGTGTGCGATTTAAAGCGAAACGAAATTCAGTTCACATATCTATAAACGATTCTTAATAAGACTGCTGATTTAGATTTGCGTTATTTTCAATTTGAAAAAATTTATTTTTGACAGTTTTGTTTAAACTGCTGTATTTTTTAAAGTGTGCGACTTAAAGCGAAACGAAATTCAGTTCACATATCTATAAACGATTCTTAATAAGACTGCTGATTTGGATTTGCGTTATTTTCAATTTGAAAAATTTAATTTTTGACAGTTTTGTTTAAACTGCTGTATTTTTTAAAGTGTGCGATTTAAAGCGAAACGAAATTCAGTTCACATATCTATAAACGATTCTTAATAAGACTGCTGATTTGGATTTGCGTTATTTTCAATTTGAAAAATTTATTTTTGTCAGTTTTGTTTAAACTGCTGTATTTTTTAAAGTGTGCGATTAAAGCGAAACGAAATTCAGTTCACATATCTATAAACGATTCTTAATAAGACTGCTGATTTGAATTTGCGTTATTTTCAATTTGAAAAAATTAATTTTTGTCAGTTTTGTTTAAACTGCTGTATTTTTTAAAGTGTGCGACTTAAAGCGAAACGAAATTAGTTCACATATCTATAAACGATTCTTAATAAGACTGCTGATTTGGATTTGCGTTATTTTCAATTTGAAAAAATTTATTTTTGTCAGTTTTGTTTAAACTGCTGTATTTTTTAAAGTGTGCGACTTAAAGCGAAACGAAATTCAGTTCACATATCTATAAACGATTCTTAATAAGACTGCTGATTTGGATTTGCGTTATTTTCAATTTGAAAAAATTAATTTTTGACAGTTTTGTTTAAACTGCTGTATTCTTTAAAGTGTGCGACTTAAAGCGAAACGAAATTTAGTTCACAAATCTATAAACGATTCTTAATAAGACTGCTGATTTGGATTTGCGTTATTTTCAATTTGGGGAAAAACTTGAACTTTTGATTTTTTCACTTACGACGCGAGCGATCGACGTATTATCATTTTCGGTATTAAAAAAATTAATTATTTATAGTGAGCTGTCAGATTCACATTAATATATATTGAAAACGCATTTTCACGTTCGTTCAAAATCGTTAAGCGAAGATAGATCAATTTCGATGTTGAAGCGAAAAATTTAAAAAGTGACAAGCTTTAAGATATTATTAATATACATGCTCAGTCGTGTTTAGAATCGTTTTTTGTGGTTCGGGACATTCGCCTGCGATTGTTACATCGATGTAGAGAGCAGAATTTAAAAATCTTGAAATTTGAAAAAATTCATCTCTGACAGTTTTGTTTAAACTGCTGTATTTTTTAAAGTGTGCGACTACAAGCGAAACGAAATTCACTTCACACATCTATAAACGATTCTTAATAAGACTGCTGATTTGGATTTGCGTTATTTTTAATTTGGGGAAAAATTGAACTTTTGATTTTTTCACTTACGACGCGAGCGATCGACGAACTATCATTTTCGGTATTAAAAAAATTAATTTTTTATAGTCAGTGTCAGATTCACATTAATATATATTAAAAACACATTTTCAAGTGCGTTCAAAGTTTTTAAGCGAAGATAGATCGAATTCGATGGTGAAGCGAAAATTTAAAAAGTGACAAGCTTTAAGATATTATAAATATACATGCTTAGTCGTGTTTAGAATCGTTTTTTGTGGTTCGGGACATTCGCCTGCGATTGTTACATCGATGTAGAAAGCAGAATTTAAAAATCTTGAAATTCGAAAAAATTCATCTCTGACAGTTTTGTTTAAACTGCTGTATTTTTTAAAGTTTGCAACTACAAGCGATACGAAATTAATTTCACACATCTGTAAACGATTCTTAATAAGACTGTTGATTTGGATTTGCGTTAATTTCAATTTGGGGAAAAACTTGAATTTTTGATTTTTCGACTGACGACGTGAGCGATCGACGTACTATCATTTTCGGTATTTAAAAAATTAATTCCTTATAGTCAGCTGTCAGATTCACATTAATATATATTAAAAACACATTTTCAAGTGCGTACAAAGTTTTTAAGCGAAGATAGATCGATTTCGATGTTGAAGCGAAAAATTTAAAAAGTTAGAAGCTTTAAGATATTATAAATATACATGTTCAGTCGTATTTAGAATTGTTTATTGTGGTTTGGGACATTCGCCTGCGAATGTTACATGGATATAGAAAGCAGAATTTAAAATTTTTGAAATTTGAAAAATATATCTCTGACAGTTTTGTTTAAACTGCTGTATTTATTAAAGTGTGCAATCACAAGGGAAGGAAATTCACTTTCCACTATTAGAAACGATATTAAATAATACTGCGTATTCGGATTTGCTTTATTTTAAAGTAGGGTCACAATTTTAAATATCGATTCTTACATTGATGAGGCTTGCGATCGAAATGCTGTCGTTTTTAGTATTAAAAAATTAATTCTTTAAATTCAGGTGCCACATTTACGTTAATATATTAAAGACACGACATTTCAAGGTCAAATAAAAATTTTTAAGTGAAGATAGATTAATGTCGATTTCGAAACGAAAAACTTAAAATGTGTCAAATTTTAATATATTTAAGATTCACATGCTCAGTCGTGTTTAGAATCGATATTCATTGTTTAGAACATTTTCAATCGAAAAATATATTAATGGAAAATGCAGAATTCGAAAATCTTGAAAATTGGAAAGAATCAACATGATGTACACAATTTTTATTCGTGAATTTTTATTATGTTCATAGTTTTAATTTGTCGAATTTTTATTATGTACATAATTTGATTTAATGAATTTCTAATTTCTATTAAGTACATAATTATAATTCACCGTATTTTCTTTATCAAAATAATTGTAATTTGTTCAATTTCTATTATGTAATATAATTTTAATTTGTCGTATTTTTTTTATGTAAATATTTTTAATTTGCTGAATTTTTATATGTACATAATTTTATTTTTGAATTTTTATTGTGTACCTAATTCTAATTTTTGAATTTTCATTATGTTTTAAATTTTTATTCGCCGAAATTTTACTGTGTACAATAAATAAGTATTTTTGAATTTCTATTATGCGTTATAATTTAATAATTTGTTTGGCGCGCGCGAAGGGCGCGCTTGTGTTATCTAGTTTAATAAAAAAAATATATATATTTGTGTGTGTGTAAATGCGTAGCGCGATAAATTATTATTTTTGACGTTTTGCCTACACTTTGGGGAGATGCGCGTGAGATCAGTGACTTCGTGTGCCGATCAGCTGATTGGAAATGTTTCCATTCGAAAGTTTGAGTCATAGTTTATATCACGCTATTCTGATGTAAATACATAATTTTCTTATAAAAATTGGTGCCTGTTGACAATTATTATTGACAGAGGCAGATCGCCTTGATTGTTGCTTAAAAATGACAGAAGAATTATCTGGTGTAACCATAGTGATATTTATAGCAGCGGGCGTTTTAACAATATTATTGCTGTTTATTTTCGCGAAACGACAAATCATGAGATTTGCTCTGAGATCTCGTCGGGGTCCTCATATTCCTATAGGACACGATGCGAAAAAAGTGCGTCTCACAGTTTAATATTTTGAGGTTAACCTGCTGTTATATATACACTGTTTTATTATTTAATATATGTTTTAGTCTTTGAAAAAGGAAATAGAGAGGAGGATTGAAGTTATACCTAGGATCCAATATGAACCGCAGCTCATTAGTGATCCTAGGTACATTTTGACTCCAGGAGGCCAAGCTCCGCCACATTATTATAGATTGAAAGCAGTTGACGATGTTAAAACCTTGGGTAAGTTATCATTGTATTGCTGTATTGATGCTATTTCATATCATTTGTGTTTGCAGAAGCGGAGATTACAAAATATGACAATTGTTTGAAGAGACATCCTTCAGAGAATCTGAGAGCGTACTTACTCACCACACTTGCTACTGCATTAAATGGAAATGGTCAGCGTTTAATACACCAGTTCTGTGATTTGTATGAACATGCAAGACATGATCCTACTGAATTCGGTGACGAGGAATATCAAGTATACACTCGTTTGTTTCTAAAATTAATGGATGCGTAAGTATAATTCAGAATGTCTACTTATTGATTTGCTTTGTAACAAAAAATTCTGAGTATTAACAAAATATGTTTTAAATATTGCTGAAAAAAAAGAATATAATTTAATATTTATATTTTTTACTCAAAATATTTAATTTTACGTATTTATATTATTAAATATATTTTATTAAAATTATTTATAAATGATTTATTATTCATAGGGCGCGTTTATTGAAATCATATCCAAGCAGTAGAAAGTCTAGTCCTAGTCGTACACCAATCAAGAAAAACGTGGAGACAAAGAGAAATATTTTAGAACCACGAATGCGTCCACCAGAAGAACAGATTCTAACTGGCTCGAGACCTAATACTTTAACAGTAATGACGTTAGACAATAGCGAAACGTCCGTGTAGCATTATGAGTGCCGTCACATACAACATATGTGACGAGGAATTGTAGGTAGGTACTGAAATAATCTTACGAAACTATTATATGCGAATGAAACGTCCGATTAAGTTAGGAAAATCATTAAAATGCATTTTTACTTTTGTGATAAGTAAAAGAGGTTTTCACATTCTATTCAAGTTGAATATCAGTATTAGTTGAATAATATATTTTATAGACAACGAATATTTGTTTTTTTAACTTGTTTATTATATTTATACTAAAATTAATCTCTTATATAAAATAAAATTTTCGCATTTTTTGCATAGACATTGCTTGTAAAATTACTATGTTGACAAGTATATAAACAGTATAAGTCGTCGAATTAGAAAATTAGTAACACAATTTTTTAAAGTGTTTACTGTATCATCTGTAATTTTGACGATGACAGTAGAAGACATTAAGTCGATAATGACTAATCATAATTATATTATTCAATTATCTTCTTCTCAAATGATTTATTAAAATTTGCACACACGCAGTGCATAAAAAATTTACATATCTCTAAATAATTCCAGAAAATATCGAAAATAAAAAATAATAGTTGTTTTTTCTTTTGAATATTTATATATTTTTCAACAATGACGAATTAGCATATCTTTTTCTACAGTTTACTGTTCAAATATTGAAATGTTTAATGTTTATCTAACGAATTGGATATTAATTATGCTGTAAGAAGATAGCTCTAACAAGTGTATGAACTTATCAGAATTTCTCGTAATTATTATTCTATAGCAATAAAGTATAGAAAATAAAATTGTCAGGAAAACATATAAATTATTCATTATAATTATAGGATTGAATATTATTAATGAAGTGTAAGGCTAAGTGTAATACAAATAAGTAAATCAATTTCAATATAAAATCTTCCCTTTTTTAATATAAAAATATTTTATGTAAATAGATTTTTAGTTATATGTGGGAATATAAGTTTTGACTGATAAGTAATTTGTCCACTGTAAATTATAGTCTTCTTCATGCCTTAATAAGATTAATGCGCTTTGAAACGCAGATATATACACATCAGGTACAGAACTGGTCCTCATGTGATTCAGCCATGTCATAATCTAAATAAAATCAGTACGATTTATACATATATATTATATATTTATGTATTATATATGTGTATTGTCCATTTCACACACGACGAAAAATTTCGACAATTGTAATATTGTAAAAGTAACATTTTTTTTAAGCTAATAAATATTATAACACGATAATTAAAAATTCCCCCCTTGTAATTTATTTATTAAAATATTTTGCATAAATATTTTTATACATACCTGACAAGATATGGACTTCCACATTTGTCGATCAATAAGCACAGAAAGGGCCTGTGGGAACAATCTTATCCTGTCATCTCGCAAAGTAATTAGTAATTCTTTTTTCGGCAATAAGCAATCCATGCCCGATAAACAGATGATCGAGACAAATAAGATATCACAGTAAAAGATTATATTGTTTTTTTCTTGTGATGTCTCCAATATAAGCGCATCAATATGACTCATAAAATTTAAAATCCAATCTTTTTGGGATCCAAGATCACAAGATTTCTCCAATCTTAAGTTAGTTTGCACTTTTTGTATATTTTCTAACAAATATTTTTGCATCCTGTAAAGAGAAAAAAAATTATTTTTATTGGACAATCTTTACCTGGAAATTATAATAGTTATAATTATTAATATTTACTCAGGATTAGACACAGCCACATTGATAGGTTCATTTAGCCAAGTGAGTGGTGAATTAATAGAATTCAGTTCCCTGAAAGATACTTCAGCTCTAATAGCAATGGCGTTCCTCAGTTTTTTCGGCGTCACTTCCCACCAAATGCTAGGTGACGTCATTCTTTCGATGTCTTTGGCCAATAATTCCATCGTGGCTGTAAGATATTTCTTGAAATAATTGGATGTTAAATCGACTTTCTCTAATATTTCTTCCAACATATTGGTAAGTAACGTGCGGTTTCCTATATGTATCACGTTGCTTTTCAAAGCGGTGATGTACGAAGACATAATGTAATTGTACAAATCGATTGATCTTTCGTCATTGAGTAAGATTTTCTCAATGATGCAATGTAGAGAAGTCTCGAGAAATTGTTTCAGAGAATTGGGTTGAATGGCTTGGCACAGCTCGTCGAGATTCGAGTAAAGCACTAGATGTTTCTCATTTAGCAACAATCGACCAGCTTCCGATGCGGATGTGTACATCGATAGGAAACTCTCCGTGAGCAATTTCGCCGATGCAGAGATTTGACAGTGACGACTCACAATTGATAGACTGTACTCCTTAGCCTCCTCCGATATCTGCATAGTTTCCTTCAAGAAATCCCACTTTACATTCGGTAATGGTTTTTTGTATTTATGCGCGAATATGCGTAGACATTCTATCACAGCTCTCTGATTACTCAGATCAGCCTTGTTGCCTCGTCTCAGATATTCGCCAACAGCCCTTATCACGCTCCTCTCTGGCAAATACTTGTAGTTCTGCGGTTCTCCTTGCGGCCACGTGTATATTCGCGACTTAAAGCCGCTCAATTCATCCTCGATATAAAAAATTAAAAGATCTCCAGCTGCCGACAAAACGTTTTTGTTCACCTTCTTCAACATCTGAATCCAACAACTGCCCGGTATGTATTGCAAGGCATCTTCGGGTTTATCACCTTCATTGGCTACCTTTCCGGGATAAGCGCAGGACACTACGAGATCTGATTGAAAGTCCAGGGGCAAAGCACTTAGAGGAACTCGTTCCAGATGGTAAGATCTCAACGCCTTGAACGCCGCTTCCGCGACCCTCGTGTCTTCGCAAATTGCGTAATCCCACAGAAGCGTCACGATGTCAACGATGAATTTATCATAGTCGTCACTCGCACGGAATGGATACGATGGAATATCCGCAAAGAGCTCGCATAAACTCTCCAGCACCACAGTGCGTTTTTCCTTGCGCATCTTCGGCGCTAATACCTGCCAGGTGGAGTAGATACCTATCATATAAAAGAGTCTTATAAAGAACTATATAACAAGATAAAAAAGAATTAAATAATAAAATTGTAATACAATATATTAAAAAAAAATATATATATATATATATATATATATATATATATAGGTTCCTGAGTCAGAGGCGAGAGAGCACAGGCTGAAATTTTTTTAGATGCCATTTTTAAATGAAAAGATAATTTTGAAATGGCATCTAAGAATTTTTAACATGTGTTTTCTTTGACGTCAAAATCTAACATGGTTGCGGCGAAGACTCAGGAGCCTTAAAGATATAGATTGTATTTAAATATGTGTACCTATCACCGCAGATTTGCACAAAGCAGAGATGCTATTGAGTGCGAGTGCGCTAGCAGTCCCGCCGTTCAAATCGACGCAGCGATTCAAGATCTGCGACAGCAACGGTACAAGTTCCTCACCGTGCTCAGGTCGGTTCTCGCAGATGTATTTGATCGCCTGAGCACACGTCACGTCCGAGTGCCAACTGCGATCAGTCTCCATAGTATCCATCAGAGCAGTGGATATGAAGCGGTAGCAACGTGGCTCCTTCTCCAACGCCTTCGTGTAGAGCTGGATCGCGAAGTACTTCATCGGTTTGCCGCTGTTAAACATCGTGTCCAACGTGTGGATGACAATCGGCAAGTTCTCCTTGGACATGGCGAACTCGGGGACGGTTAGCAGCAGATATTTCAAGATAAAACTATCACGTGACTTGGTTAATTTATGCAACAACAGGGATAGAACGTGCGACGCGAAGGAGTTGATCTCCCGCGCTATTTGCAGGAGAATGTCGCAGGTTTTCTGTACAACGATGGCTTCGTCGCTGTATAGGAAGATTCCACACAAAATAAGCTTGCACATGTATCTTAGATCGATCGGTGCGAGTGATAAGTTTTCCAACCATGACAGAATATCGTTTTCCAGAGAATACAGACTGCGAATGAGTTCTGTATAAAACTGGATATATCTGTTGCTGTAGCTAAACATGAGCAGCGTTTTGTTTGAGACAATATCGTCACTATTGCCTATTTGTTTTTGTGACATTATTCTGATTAATAATTCTTTTGCTACCGCTAATGCATCAGAACACAATAGTGATGGATAAGCCAGCCATTTTAACAAGGATGCAGCTAATGCATTTAATAATATGATGTTACACGGCATTTTGTCCACGATGATTGCACCTATAATATAAAAGTGATCAAGATCAACTCGCGAAATTTTAAATCTACTTTTTGAAGAGATAATTTCATATTATTTTAGATTATATTATTTTTATATATATATATATATTGACTTTTATATATCGTCTTATTAAATACTTACATATCTGAAGAACATTGAGCAAATAAGCTGCGGGACATATTAAGATTATTTCCGTCATCATAGCTATCGTGATATTTCCTATATCATCACGAGACCGTTCCATTAGATCCAAGATTGTGCAAAAATTTTGCACCGGTTCATGCCCGTATTCCAAAAGCTGTATTATCAAAGACGCGATTAAAGGTATCAGAGTCGTGCAATATTCTTCATCTCCTTTCAGTAAGGATACTTCGGCGAGTTCAAGCACTCGATAGTTCGCATCGATGCAAGTATCTATCCGACTTGTACACAACCAGAGTAAAATTTCTGCTTGTAAATCCAAAGTGTTACTAGATTTGATTACAAGTTGCCATGTCTCACGTTTGCAGCTCTCGCATAAGTCCATGGACGGATTACACAGTATATACATGAATACAGGTCGTAATAGCTCTATACTTTGTTCCATAACACTAAAATTTGAATAAATTTAAATTTAGTATATGTATAGAAGTATAGTTACTATTTTCAATTGGAAAATATGAATAGAGCATATTTCATCTTTTTATTTATTCTGTTCCAATTATACTTTTTTGAATCTTTAATAGAAAAAAAAAACATCTCTAGTTTATGAAAATTTACAAATTTTGATACATATATTATAAAAAACATACCGTTTATCATGATGATGCAAGATGAGTTTTATTTGATTCAATACAGATCTCCAGCTGAGCTTTTCCTGACTTAGGATTGTGATAAATGGATGCTGCGTAGGCGCTTGAAGAGTATATTTGCTGCATTCATTTTGTATTTTCCAATCCAATATCAAGAGTTGACCCACAGCTATAGTAATGGCATTATAATTTCTGCAAATTTTAATTATAATAAATATAATAATAATAAATTAATGATGATATAAATATCTATATCATTTTCTAATATCTATATTATTGATAGTTTGATACTTGCACATACTTTGAAGAAGATAAACATGCCATAAAGTTCGCTAATGCAGATTTAACATCCCATAATCCAATTTCAACAAGTACAATCAATGCTTGACATGCAGATGTGCTGACTATAAAATCATCGCTGTTGCATTTAGTTGAGAGCAATTTAAATTCTGCTATCTGCAAAGAAAAAATATATAAAAATAAAACAAAGCTATATTAATCATATATAATTATCATTGAAATTAAAATTTTTTATTCACCTTTGAAATATCATTTTCTTCTACTAACTTTTTCTTGATCGTATCAATCAATTTGGATATTGCCTGTAGAAAAATAATTGAGTAACAATAGTTTTCCTAATATAAATATGTAACCAATATTTAATATTATTGATATTTACATGTGATATTAAAGTGGGATTTTGTGATCTTAATTTATAATCTATTTCGTCCATGGTAATTAGTGTGATCTATATTAAATTATTATTTAGCTTTTAAGCTTTATTCTTAATTGTCTAAAATTTTTTGCAATAAGAATACACTTAAACGAGGATATATGTGTGAACTCATAAAATATAAGATCAACGTATATTAATTAAGAAATGTTAAATCCGTCTTTTCCACGTTGAATAATAAACACAACTTAATTTAAGCGATACTGTGTACAATGTGTACATGATGCTCGCCATCTTGTCAGATCAGCTGTTTGATCTAAGAATAGCATGCGCAGTAGCATGATACATATACATACACATACATTATAATAAATTGCACAGTAAAACAGAAAACAATGTATTTAATAATAATTCTACTAATTTTTGACTAATTTTATTTATCATTTAATGGCCTATCAATTAATAACTCATTTAATTTAAAGTCTTTAATTTAATATCTCAAGACTCATATTGATTAGCAGAATCCGCGAGAAAAATTTATTTTCGTATATTAAATTAATTTACAGATAAATATTACCGGTGATGCAATTGACGTGCAATAAAATTCGTCCGAATTAATTAAATAATTTCGCGAAGAGATAAATAATATTGATAAATTTTTAAAATTGAAAATGACATGTATATTTATATTTATCAATATATAATTTACTTTTATTGACAAAAACCTTTCTTTCAAGTTGGGAATTTGTAATTGTAATTATTAAATAATACATGAAATAAAGAAAAAAAGCACGTGTTTAACTTAAAAAATTAAATTTCTGCGCATTTCTAATTTATACTTTACATTGAGAACTTTCTTTATTATTTATTTGTATCGTTTAGCCAATTTATTATTTATTAGTATTACATTTGACGTATAAAAATTAAATAAAAAGAGTTTACTTAATAATATATGTATTTCTACATCTTTTACTTTATTTTTAGATTTAAAAAAATTTCTTGAACAGAGGATGAATAAGGAACAAAATTTTGAATTGCAAAGGTAGCGTAAAATAATAGAGAGAAATTTTGAGATTTTTCAATATATTTATTTATATGGACAAGTGTCGGAGCATAGTGCACAATATATTTAATATATAGTAGTCTGAGGAAGGGGGATTCAGAGTACATTCTGGAGTTTGAACACAATATCTTACAATTTAACGACAAGATGCCTGCATGTTTTTTTTTCTTTCGTATCTGCTTCTGTACGTTATGTTTACTCGTATATTCATATATACTCGAGATGTATAATATATAAAGCGTAACGAGTCACTATTTTTATCATTCTAAAAAAAGGAGACGAGAATAAGGGTCCTTGTTTATTATGTTATGTACTCAGTTCTTATCGTTGACCACATTCATTCTTATACATATCTTTCATTCTTCTTTTACACACATGCACACATACACGCATACATTCTTGCACTTATTCTAGTTCTTTCTTTCGTATTATCTTTCTCTCTCTCTCTCTCTTCCTCTTTCTCCTATGATACGTGATTATGCAACGTCCTAGCAAATATGCGTAGTACTCGCTACAATATCGTATCCTTAGGATAGACGGAGGTTGTCTCCAATTACTAATTACATTCATTCACTATTACACATGGGTAGCGAGTTGCGCGTCTCAAGGGAATTCTCGTTTCTGCCGAATAAAGCGGAGATAGCCGGGAGAATAGGGGGAACACGTTTGCTTGAACCATAAAATTGTAACCAACCCGTCTTCCGGTATGATTCGAGTGTGGATGCAATATAAAGCTTTCTGATTACGAGGGCTACAATTCGGAGACGATAACTCCTTTTTTCTCTCTTTTTCTCTCTTCTCTTTCTATATATATATATTCTTCTAATTATTGATTAACGATCTATATTAAAATTCTTTTTTTTTCTTTCTTATTAAAAGCGAATACATTTTACAGCCTGTACAATCGAGCGAAACATTGCGGCGCATTCTTTCTTTCACTCTTATTCTTCACCAGGGCAGGGTCCAGGTACTCAGGCTATCTCTCTGCGTGTTTCTCTTTTCTTTCTTTTCTTCCTTCTTCGTTTTTTTTTTTTTTTTTTTTTATGTTTGCGAAGATTCCGAAGAATCGGGCTCCTTGATCTTTATCTTTTCATGTACTCTCTCTCTTTCTTGTTCGGTTTCCTTTCTCTTTTTATATTATTTGCCTCTTCTTTTTATAAAAATCGCAGCGCAGCACCAGCATTTATTTCTTTTAAAGCCCACCCCTTTGTCCGCTGGACACCTCACTAAAACTGAGGCGGATCATACTTTTTTTAAAATTTCTTTCATTCACTCTTTCACACATACACACATACATTAAGCATACACGCGCACGCTTTTTCGCTCTCGCAAGTGCGCATTTCTTTATCGCGATTTCGTTCATATATTCGACAAAGTGATTGCATTGCGTTTTACCACTCTTTTCCTTCATTTTTTTCATTTTATTAAATATGTTTTGCTCTGTTGTGCTGCGAGAAACGCATCATCAATCGTTTTCATATCATATCTTTTGATTTGGCATTTGCAAACATTGCCTGATAAAATTTTTCACCGCCGCATTTTTCTCTGTTTCTCTTTCTATCTTCTATCTTACGTCACACATTGACAATAGTAATAAAATAATATAATTAATAATCTCAATAAATCGTATAATATAAATATATATATATATATATATATATATATATATATATAAGTGGATGACGATAGTCGTTACTGAACAAATATTATATAGAGTTTATACATACATATATATATATAGTTGCATATGCGCAATATACGTCTCGCTGTTTTTATTTATCCATTCTTTGGATCTAGCTCGTGTCCCCCTTCTCCATCTCTCCCTTGTTTCCCTAACGTTTGCATACATCGCTGGCTACCATTATTTTAAACAAATAGCGTTCTAGCATCAAATTTACAGTCACTTAACGCCATTTAATTATTTAGAATCATCGCATTACACAAGTCTCTTTTTTTAAATCTTTCTCGTCTTGTTCTCGACATACGTCTTTTATCAACCACACGTTCGCCTCGCAAAGACGAGATTTCTAGTCACTTTAATCGGCATTCGAATGATCGATCGCACAGATCACGGATTCTCTGTTCCCCTAAGAGATAGTTTATCAGCAAGTTATACAATTTTTCTCTACAAAAATCGAAATTTGCGGTCGCGTATATAATTCTTACAATCGTCTTTCTTTACAATAAAATACATTGACACGGATTTACCGTACATCGCGGAAACATCGCGCACGCACACATTATGCTTGTACAAGGCAGTCGACTCACGCGATTCGCTACTACTCTTTCTCATCTCGTGTGTATCCTTATATACGAGTGCAATATTTGTTTTCTCCTCTCTTTTACACGCACGCACACATACGCGCTTCGCTCTCTCGCTCTCCTAAGTTTCTACGTTCGATAAAAACTCCATCACATCGCCTCGACAAACACATATACGCTCGAATCTGAGAGTCGGGGGTAGAGCCGCGCTAGCACGCATTAAATCCACGCTTTTCGTAATTTTTTTTGCCAGCACGGCCCCGTAAACGCGAAGGCAGTCCACTGTCTGTCTTCGCGTGTTTCAGTCTAACGAGATGTCTGACTCCTCGTGACAGTTGTCACATATGTCTCTCACGCCTCGTCCCGCGATTCAGATCTATATATATGTATTGTGTAATATATAGACTCTTCTTTATCTATCATGTTAACTTCGAATACGAAGGTCTCTACTTCTTAATCAATTATTTTGCTGGATCAGCAATTCTCTCTCCGTTTCTTTCTGAACTACCGTCTTATCTAGATCAGAATATCCATCTAAGACTAGGCACTAGAAAGCAAAGGAAAGACCGAGCTTATACCAGGAAATCAGACAGACGTCAACGAGGAGTCAGCGCAACTTGGGTGGCACCGAGCCTAACTCAGTCTACACCGAAACGAGGCAACTCTCGCTCGATCCCTTCTCGTGGAACGCTCATCTTGCGAGACAGGGCGTTACTTTCGGAAATCTATCGGAGATCTCGACCTTCGGGATAAGATCGAATCTCCAATCTTGTTATTCTTACACTAGCCGTAGGCATCTGTACACTACGCGGCGCGTATTTTTAAGATATACAAGTATGTACAAGGAGAAGGATAATTTCAGCGAGCTGGTTTTGTCTATGCAAAGATTGCGAATTCAGCGGGACGTGGGGGCATTGCTGGAATAAAACGCGTGAAGGAGAAAACTCGTTCTCTCGTCGCGCGAGCATCGATACACTTTTTGTCTCGCCGAAGGATTGCTCGTTAACGATCGTCTCGTCAAACCTATCATGATCAGTTCAACAACGTGAACCGCCGAGATATAGTCCGAGAAGTGGACATCGTATTTGTGCGTCGAATCGAGTTCAGTCTCTTATCATTCATGTTATTTCAAATTCGATATATGTATATTTTTCGTGTGTTTGGTTCACCTAATTTGGAAAGTCGCGATTTTCTCTATCGTCCGAATAATTCACGAGTGTGATTTCATCTAAACGTCTCAACATCGTCAAATAGTCATGATTCACCATCAGTCCTTAACAGCATCTCGATTAATGTCAAATCTCTAGTTCGTGGAGAGAACATGGATAATACCATTTACGACATCCATATCATCTTCTAAACTTTCAATTAACGTTATCAAGAAAGCGAGTTAACACACAGCACAAGAAGGAACAGTACGTCAGTCCTCCTCTACATCTCCTACTACATCATTGTTATTGTTCCTAACACCTAGCTCCTTGAATTCTCCACTTAATCTTCAATCCCTAGTACTTGCGCCGTTGTTGAAGAGAAGAACAATAGAATCCATCTCGTCGTATCAATCATCTCGTTGTTTTAACATCTCAATTATCTTTTCCAGGATTCACAGTCTCGATCGGACGACACTCGGCGTCTCTCTACTATAACATCTTGGTCCTAATCCGGTCGTCACCTTCTTTACTCGACGCCCAAGCCAGCCAACAACGTGGAACATAGACACGGTACCCTGGCTTGTCAGTCGTATCGACTCATTGGCTCCATTCGTGTCCATGCCTCCTACGGTTGCCTGCTGGCGGCAGTGCCGTGCGGGTGTCCCGCACCAGGCGCGCCGTTCGTCGCCGCCGGATGCGTGTGGTGGACCTGTGCGGCGGAGCTGCCTCCGGCGCTTCCGCCGGGTAAGACGGAGGCGGGGGCCGCGGGTCACTTGGGCGGGAATGGCGAGATCACCGAGGCGGCTACCGCGGCGGCCTGCTGACTCGCCAGCACTGCCGCTGCAACACACACAGAGAGACAGCAGGCCATTAATGTTTCGTCACGATCACTCCTCAAGCGCCTACTGAACGCGCGCATTTGCATATCCAGCTGTTGCTGTTGGTTGTTCGAAACGATGGCGACCCGCGGCACTCGGGATTTTCAAAATTTTATTCGAAATGCGTTTCGGTTTCTATTGAAAGGGAGGAGCCGAAGGAGAGACCGAGATTAACCACTAGCTGAGAAAATAAGCAAGTGCACCTTATGCAATTTGTTTGTATTACGCAACACAAAATTGTGACATTCAATACAGACCGAGAAATGAAATATTGAAATACGATATTTGTTGCTACCTTTTTGAGCTAGGAAATAAGAAAATATCAATTATTATATAAAAATGAAAATGATAGAAATAATTAATAAGTATTATTGATATATCATCAGTTGTTTGTAACATCTTAATATAAGTGAGATGATTCACAGATTCAAATATACGAATTCAATAGAAATTATATTCTAATTATTGTAGAATAATGAAATACTGTAAAAGCACAACGAAAGAAATAAAAATATTGTAGTTCTCGAGAAAAAAATTATTTTTAGATATAAAAATAAAACTTTTCTTGTGTGCTAACTAAACAAACCCACATAGTATCACTAATACATATTGGACGTTCTAGTTTTTACACTGATCTTTTACAAACTGTTCGATGTCACTATAAATGTCCCTAAATCCTAACAAGTAATTCTTACACTTGATAAAATTATAATATTTAAAACGCAGCAGAAATTAGACTTTCATGGATGTGAAAAAATCACATGTAAGGCTCTTCGAGACAATCGTTAACGTGCAAGCGCAATCCTTTAGGAAACGCATCGTCCTCGAGCTCGGTGGCATTCGAGGAGAAACCCGTAATTTCGAGATATCTAAAACACCGAGCTACGAGGAAAAATGACGATGGATATGTGTGTGAAGAGTGGTGGGAAAGCATAAAGTGGCGTGTACCTAAGTAATTGTTTCTCTCTCCATTTCCCTTTCTCCCTTTTACTTCTGTCTCACAGCGGATTCGCGCCTATAATGCATTTCCCTAGCATGGTTGCGGACTTCCCTCGTTCACGCGAAAGTCCTGGCAGTGTTGGCTCCGTAAGCGTAGACTTGGTCGATTAAGTTCGCTGATTGGTAATCGTTTTTCTGCGTACAAGAGCGTTGTTATGCGAGACATTGTAGTAGCAAAGTAATATATGTACATAAAATCTTTGAGAACATAAAACCAAATGTGAAAATATTAAATGTAAATCTTGTTAAGTAAATTTATCCAGAGAGAAATTAGAATTTTAGACAAAATCTAGAAATACATATTGTTCCTTATTTCTTGTTTTTTTACATATATTTATATCTTATATATATACACATATATATATATATATTATATATATATGTAATATATGTATATATATAATATATGTAATATATGTATATATATAGAATATATATTTGCATACATATTTGTATATATGTGTGTGTGTGTGTGTGTATATGTGTATATTGTAAGATAAAACATTGTATCATATTTCTATCATTTTCGATAGACGTATCATTTGTACTCTGATCCCTGAAGCACAAAAAGAAAGAAAGATTATCGACGAAATAAGGAAATATATCGCTTTCTAAAGGTTTAATTAATTGCGATTTATCCATGAAATCATCATCGAGAATTAGTGTGTCAAAGATACTTTGCATTTGTATCCAGATAATAAAAGACAAACATTCTTACGAATCGCAAACGACGCTCTTATAACAGAAATCGCAATCACTCGTCTCAGCGACTAAACGTAAAAATCGCATTGGGAAACTATAAAGTCTTGATGGCTGTTTTGCTGCAAAAGAAGCTTTTGTGGAAGACTACCGACGTCTAAATGAAAGATACAAGGATAATGAACGCGAATACACATCGCGTTCACGAGGATAGAAAATAGATACTACAAATTAAAAAGAATCCAAGTGCCAACAAAACACAAAACATATTGAAAATAATATTTAATACTAAAACTCGATAAAGCTGTATTCGACACTTCGTACCCTTGAAACCTAAAATAATTAAATTTTATGTAACTATTTATTTAACCATTCGCACTGAATATTAATTAACCACGCACAACTATAAACTTTCATAGTGAACTATAGCATATTTCTACTAAGATTTCATACAAATTGTACATGTTATTACAAAATGCAAAGAGAAAACGTATGACATGTTATTAGGGAGCAGAAAGGCCATGTATGCATTCCAGCACGTCATTTCAGTGCAAGTAGTTAAGTACTGCTTTTCTCATCTTGCTTCAAACTACATTGTTCAATCTTGTGTTTCTGGCACATAGACTTTTTTAATTCGCAGTATTCCATTAGAAACTGCACTTTTCTCACGTATATATCGCAATCAATCTGACAAACTAGCATCGATATTCCTAACAAATTCGATGACATCGTTGTAGATTACAATTTACACGCGAGTGCATCACCCGGAACTGGATGGTGATCTCTCGTCCACGTAAAAGATCCTGTTACCTTTTCTTTTCCCGTTCCGGAAAGAGAAGCACGATAAATAATTATCACAGTCTGAACTATATGTCTAATTCCTACTTGCGCCCTACTTGTGGTACACAGCTTATACACGGCTAATTTACACAACACACGACCGCACTTATACTTCAATATTTCCAAAATATTCAGTTCGTCGCTATATATACGAGACTCGTACATATGTATAAATATACAGGGTGTTTTAGACGTCGCGCGTTTTCTCTCGACTGCAGATACTGACGACTATGATAAGCGTAATATCATTTCAACACTTTTTTTTCGTGTTATAAGGCTATTTGAAAATTAAATGATTTTCGATGTAAATATATATATGAGATAAAAAAGATGTATAAATTAAATCTTTATTTTCATCTAAATTAGAAATATAAATTCTCAATTTAAGAAAAATATGATCAATATTAAAAATAAATTTTTATTAAAACAAGTTCGACAATAATTAATTATTCTAAATTCACTGTCTGCAATGCAGAAAACGCGCGCGCGTGCGTGATGCCCGGTATATAAATAAAAAACAAAATGCAACACTACACGCGAGCGAACTGGGCCGCTTGTTTTTCGCGTCCGCAGAATGTACAATCGAGGATAAATTATTTACAAGCGACATTTGGGTCCTCAATAGGCGGGATCCACTACAATAGACGAGGTTCGATAAAAAAAAAATTGTTTTTCAACTGTAATTTTTCTTTCCTTTGTACAAAAAGAAGAAATGCATCTCTTATTGGTCTGATAATAAAATAGTACCTCGAGGCGGAGACTCGGCGCGCAGATCAACTCTCAAACGGAGACATCTTCTACCGCGAGTTCCTTGTTGCACATCAGAATTCGCATTTTCTCTTTTCTTTTTCATTCTTTTCATTTTTTTAATGCACCAATATGGTGTACGGTTTAGACACACTCAGGCTCTAATACCTAGCCGAGTTTACCCGTTTTTTGTCGGATGACAAGTCATCCGGATTCCTCCCGAAAACTAAAAGCGGCCATTCGCCCTTTATTATTCATTGTTAGTCTTTTCGTACTGTCCTGCAATTTTTATCTTAAACCGAGAACATGCGTACATATTTTAAAACGCAATTACAATCGCAATCGCGTAGTTCACTTAAAAGTGCTTCCTAAGAGGCCGGCTATGAATTCGTTCATGAAGTGTCATTTCGAAGAATCCAAAATCGGATTGAATAAAAACCTACGAATACCGAGCCAACGTCAGGATGATTGTGCAGTTAAGTCAATCGCAAGTCGCTCCGCACTATCAAAGAGTTTAAAACGCACAATCCTAAAAATGTGTCCCGTTGCGCTGATACGTCTCAGCCACTTTCACTATTCGCAAAAATGCATCAGTCGCAAGACGCTCGACGGCACCTTTTATCACGCTTATCGATACGCATCGACATCAACGATTGGAATTACACAGACGAACAGTTGTCTCAACGCACGCATGCGTTGCGCTTTCTCACGGTTCTCTCTTGTTCTCGCTTCGTTGGGTCCCGCGGGTCGCCTTACTGTCAGGGTCTGACGAGAGGCTTACCTCCGTAGGGAGCGGGGTACTGTCCTGTCAACAAGGGATAGCCCAAGCCCACGTGAGTGTGATGATGCGTGTGCACGTGCCGCTGCGGCGGCGGTGACCTATTGTCCTTGCCGAGATTACCGCCGCTGGCATCCACTGCACCCTGCTGCTGCTGACTACCTGGCTGACCCTGCTGCTTGCCGGACGGTTGTTGACCTTGACCCGGCGGAGGGCCCGGGCCCGCGACTGACGTGGGTGGACCACTGGGAGGTCGGGCGGGTGTCGGACCTGCTGAAGATGGACTGGCAGACGCCGCGGACGTTTTAGGCGTCGGTGACTTGAGCGCTTGTGCGCGCTCTTGTAGCTCGTGTATCTTGTGCGCTGAATAATACTGATTAGCGTGATGTTGAAGCAGATCTAAAGCCTTGCCGCCGGGCGGTCGACTGAGATCTTCTGGTGCATGATACCTAGGTAGTTGATGAAGATAGGGGTTACTTGAATAAGGGCCAGGCACGAGCATAGGACCAAGGCCGCGATACACCGCGTGACCCGGATCGAACGGCAGCCCGCCGTAATGCTGCGGACTTGTCATGTAACCGTGATGGATGTAAGTGGTGAACTGCGAGGTAGGTGGTGGCGGCGGTCCCTGAGTCTCCATCGTTGGTTTTACGCCTTCCTGCTTGCTCTTAGAATCCTCGTTCTTGCCGAGATCCTGTGGTTTCTCTTGCTTCGGCTGATGTTTCGGACTAGGCGGTGGCGCCTTCGCCTGTTGACTCTGCTTACTCGATTCCTCTTTCCTTCTTTGCTCACCCGGGTATAGGTAATACCTCCTATCGTCCTGAACTGGTCCCGGTGGAGGCGGCGGCGGTGCCGCTCGTTGACTCTGCGAGCCGTGATAGACGTGGTACGGACTCATCTGACTCTTCATCTCGATACTCTCCTTAAGTATTTGATGGTTCTCGTGTTGTTTGTCTTTTAGGCTCGGCTGCGGCTGTGGTTCCTGCTTAATCTTGACTTTCTGCTCATGCGGCTCCTGATCCTGCGACTGCTGACTCTGCTGTTGTTGCTGTTGCTGCTGCTGCGAAACTGGTTGTGGAGGTTGGTAGGGATAGCCGGGCGGTATATAACCGCCATAAGCACCATAATAATGCGGCTGCTGTTGCGGTTGTGGCACCGGCTGACTCAGTTCCTTCTTCTCCTTCTCCGATACGACACTTTGTAAATTCGCCATCGAAGGCATCTGCGGTATATTGAGCGGTTTGATCTCCTGCTTGGGCGTAAGATCGCTCGGCTTCTGGTCCACCACCGGCTTGCTATCTGGTACGCTGGGTACCAAATAAGGCGGCTGACCGTAATACGGGTACATACTGAAGTGGGCAGGCAAATGCGCCGGTGCCGTGGCCTTGTTGTCCTTCTCTTGGCTCTGCTTGGATTTGTCTGCCGGTTCGGCCTCGAGCACTGGCGCCGCATCGTCCGATATATCCGAGTAGGCTGGACTCTGTACATCGTCGCGCGCCGAATCAACAATCGGCGCTTCAAGCGGCGACGGATGCGGGCTGCCGCCAGGTGACTTTCGCGATTTCTTCTTGTAGCTCTGTGGCTTGGAAACACGCGCGTCGGTGCTCGACTTGTTTTTGTCTTGCTCTGGCATCAGCGCCGCCGTAGGCTTCACCTTGAACTGTGGCATCTTCGCCGCGTGCAACGGGTATTGCTGCAGATGCGACTGTACACCTTGACCCGGATGACCCGGCGGTGGCGGTGCCGTTTGCAGGCCCGCCGCCTGCTGCGATACCTGACTCGCTAGATTCTGCAGACCCGGATGCTGACTGGCTATGCTCTGTAGACTGGCCTGTTGCTGCTGCAACCCGGCCGTTTGTACAACATGAGCCTGCGCGGGTTGGCCCAGCTGAGCCGACAGAGGATGCGACACCGACTGTAATTGATGCGCCGGAGGTAATTGCTGTTGAACCGAAGACTGCATTTGCTGTTGTTGCTGCTGACTGCCAACGACGCTGGACTGCAACTGTTGTTGCGGTGGTTGACCGACCTGCTGCAACGTTTGCTGCGCCTGTTGCAGAAGCGGATTCTGCGACTGATGCGACTGCTGCATCTGAGACGGCTGTGGCGGTTGCGGTATGTTGAGGGCTGGGGGATATTCGTGCTCGGATGCGGTGAAGGCACAGGCCTGGGAGACTGACTGGGATGCGGGCTAGGACTCTGGGGCGGATTCGACGAGCCTAACGACGCTTGACTCTGCTGCTGCTGTTGCTGCTGTTGCACCGACTGTTGTTGCACTCTCGACGAGGGTGCCGTGGAAGTAGGCGCTGGCAGATCGTCCTGACCGAACCTCAACACGCCGGGCTTCACGATATTTTTATCCGCGAGCACAGGCGTAGGTGGTTCTATACTGGGTGACGGCACCCTCGGGGGCGGAGGCGGCGTTTCCGGCGGCAATCCCGCAGCCGGTGGACTCGTCGCTCTCACCGGCGTACCCTCGGGTTTGTCCGCTGGCGATTTCACCGGCGTAGCTGGACTCGGCGCCTCGATGTTGCTCTCGTCGTTCTCCGACATACTTGTTATACCCTCCTTGGTGTCGTCGTCATCGGCAGTGCCGTGCGCGTGACTCTGATGATACTTGAGTCCGTTGATGTGTTTGTACTTTTTACTACAGTTCGGCTCGGGACATTCGAGCAAAACCGGACTGGCGGGCGGCGAACCGCTAGGCGGCGTAGGCGGTGGCGCCCGTCGTTTATTCTTGTCCTGTTCCTCTTCCGGTCCGCGTGACTTCCGCTTCGCCGCCGGATCTGGCCGTGGTGGCACGAACGCCGCTGGACTCGGACTGGCAGCGGTGAACCCTGAGCGCCCCGACGACCTTTGCCGCCATTGCGGAGTTTACTGTGCACGGAACTTCTCGTCTCCGTGAAGTTGCTCAGGTCGTTGCCGGGCGTGGAGTTGGCCGCGGCGCGGCCGCGTTTACCGCGTCCCTTGGGTGTGCGAGCGTCCAGGTCGCTGGTCGGCGAGTCGCAGAAACGAGGTGGCGCCCAATCGTGACGCGTGCAGTCCAGCAACGTCCCTACGTACGTTTTACCTCGCCACGTAACGTTTACCACTAATACACCTGCAACAGAGAGAGAAAATGTTTCAAATAGTAATACTCGAAGATTATTAGAGGCGAGACTTCTTCTTTAGTATTCTACTTTAATAATTATCTTCTGATAGCCTTTAGAGCTATCTAATGTAATACACTTGACAATCATGTTTGATATCTTTAATCTCTGTTGATGTTGAAAATATCCATTGTACAAGTAAATAAGATATGTATATCTCATTGACTATTATATACTTCTGTGGTTCTTTATCAAAGGGACATAATGCATTCTTCAAGTACTCCACACATAGAGCACATTATACACTTAAAAAATTGTATTTTTAGAATCTCTATACCAAGTTTTCCACAAATAATATTTTATTGTTGCAGTAAAAAACTCAATTTATATTTGTATATATTTTTGATAGTTATCAGCTGATTTCTGTCAAAAAGTGTTAATTGCGGATGATACTTTAATATATTATTTGAAAGTATAATTAGCAAATTAACGATTCAATAATATTTTTTGACAGAAATCAGCTGATTAAATTGTTAATTTGCTAATTAAATTTTGAAATAATGATATGTTATAAAAATTAAAATTATAATACATTTCAAATAATATGCTACAATACTTTAAATTTGATTAATATTTTTGACAGTTATCAGCTGATTTCTATTAAAAAGTATTAATCGAGTTTAAACTCTATTATTTTTAAAAAAATCATTTTTTTTAATACAAAATTGAAGAATAGCGCACGAATAGTGCGTACTTGTTCTGGTAAATATATAAAATATAAAAATATATAGAAACAATGAAATATTTTCTCTATAGAAAGAATCTATAGAAGGAATTATTAGTGCATTTCTTGTTTGTCAATAATTTAGAAAATAATTTTGTCGCGACGCACAAAATTCAATTTATTTTCAATCTAAAGAAGTAGATGAAGAAAAATAACAAATCTTGGACGAAGAAACGTAGGTATATGTGTTGTTTTGCTGATGGAACAATGCAAAAGTTATGACGAAGAAAAACCGTTCTTAAAATACGACGGTTTAAACTCTTAGAGCAGTTTCATTAATAAGTTTCATGGCAACCCGCTGACGAACTAACTCGCAGTTCGTGTTGTCTCCCCTTTTCTCCTCGGCATGTTCTTCGTTCCTGCACGATCAGCATCGTTAATTGAAAATATCTCGACCGTGCACGTGCAAGAAAACTTGCAGCGTCTCGCAGGTGATCCCGACGATAAATGCTGCAGGTGTTTCCAGCCGCGAAATTCTCGTCTTTCATACATAGTGTGCGGCTAAATCACTTTCGCGTTCGCGTAATAGCTAAAGTCGACCCGACGCAAATCGAATCGCCTCCATGGGGTGTGTCGCACCAGATTTAAATGTCAAAGCTGTGCAGAACGTACAGGATGTATGTGAAATAAACAATGTGTTCTCTATCAATAAGTGGAAGAAAAAGTTTTATTTGAAAATTGTTTTTCTTAGAAAGTGCGATTTCTTAGAAAGTTTCTCTCGCACAACGCGTAAATGTGTTTTCAATTAATTATCAAGGTAATTATCAAGGAGAATAAAATTCTACAAGACAAGGAAAGCGCGGTCTCTCTGTAAAATGATAGCGAAACTATTAAAAATTTGTGCGATAACGAAGCGATGCAGAAATAAAATTCAGTTTCTTACGGTGAAGATTTGACAAATAGGTTTTTTCTTTTCATCGCGCTCGTTTGAATTAATTTTTCTTTGAGACGCGACCCACGTCTCTCACGAGAAAAGCACCGTTTAAAAATAGATACCTCCTACGGAATGAGAATGTTCGGGGAAGATCGTTGAAACGAGCTCGCGGTGTTTGCATCGAAGCTTGTTTCCTCCACGATGTGAATCGAGACCAGAAATAAAGGGACGAAACAGCGGGGCAGTCGAGGAGAAAATAAAGAGGCGGACATACACAAACACACACACACACACACAAAGAGAACAATAAAAACGGCGGAAGTTCCAAGGCGACCAAGTTCCTAAAAGCCACATAACACCGTGTTTCTACTCCATCTGTCAGACGTACGTCTCGTGCTTTCTTTCTCTTTCTCTCGTCTCGGGAACGAAACGAGATGTCTCTCGTTGTTTCTTCCTCTATTTTGCGGCTCTTACCCCTCATCCTTTCGCCCTTTTTCTTTCCCACCCTTGCTCGCCACGCGGCAGAAACCTCGGGGCATTTTGGTTGATTGAGTCGTCCCCTCGCGCGTCGACGTCATTCCCATTTACCGCGAAAGATAAACGTATGGGCGAGCACTAGCATCAGGGAGGGATGATGATAAATCCGTACAACTCACCCTCGTCATGCGCCTTTTCATCCCGTTTGCTTTCGAACCTCGTTTCCTTCACAGCCCCACCGACCTTGCGCCACTTTTTTCCTTTTTTTCTCATGTGGCACTCTGACAGCAGTCGAGTGCCGGGCAAATGACTAATTAGCCACTAACTCAGACAGACTTCGAACATCGTCTTTACGCTCGAAAAAAATGTATGCTGTCTTTAAGCTCGAAAAAAATGTATGCTGTCAAAAAGATTTGAGCGAGGAAACAATAAAATGACTTTCGTTCAAGTTTCACCGAATAATGTGTTTTAATAAGAAATATATGGGAGAGGCTGAATTAATAAAAATACAAACACTGTTTTAATTAATAAAAATAAACACGATAATATCTCGCCTAACAATTTACAGCATTTTTGAACAGTGCTAAATTTTTTACACTGCTATATGGCATAATAGCAATTTTACAAATGAGTTTATCTTTAAACCTTATACACTCGGTCTCTCGCGACCCCGGGGTTCTCTAGGTTTAATAGAATTTCCCGCGGCACAGTAAACGAATAATCACGCGGCCCGCCTCGAAGAGATTGCGGTCGCGGCAGCTGGTAGCAAAGAACACGAAGTCACATCCAGCATTATTTGCCCGTCGCTCTTTTGCGGCGGGCAGACGTCGTCGGAGTTGTACGTCGCCGCCTCCTCGAGTTTCCTCTTCCTGAAAGCCGACCGACGATAAAAGGGCTCTTTTCCGAAGCGGTAGATTTGCGGTCGTGGTCAAAGGAAACCAGGCACTGTCGGAGGAAGAAGAAGAAGAAAAGCGCTCGCAGTTTCAGCGTAAAACGACGAGTTAATATTTCTCTAGCGAGATACTGTCGAGCGCAACGACTTCGTAATACCTCGCGATCGAATCGTCTCGACTCATAGCGGCTGTCACGTGAAATCACGTCCGGTTTTATTCGCCCTCTACAAGCGATGACAATCGAGCACGTTGCTCCGAATCGAGAGATCGCTTTCGGATCGAGAATGGAGTTCTCGCACCGAATATTCGTCACGAAAGAAAACTTCCGAGATTCGAGCAAGGTGAATGTCTCATTTATTGACGTGTCGAAAGTATCAATATTCGATTGTGTATATGACATTCGCGATTTTGATGGACAAAGCTAAAATCTAAGTTGAGAAACATCGTCGATAAATTATACTTGAGACACACGCAAAGATAAAAGATATAACAGCAATTCACGACAAATTACATTGTTCCTAATATTTCACGGAACTATCTAAATATAAATAATTTCTTTTTGTATCTCATCGTTTTACCAGATAAAACACTTTCACGTGCAAAGTAAAATTTCAATTTAAAATATTGAATATTTTAAAATATAAAACAAAGAAATAAAAATTTTAAGTTCCCAAATATATTTTTAAAAATTGATACTAGAGATATATCTGACCATATATGTGTGTAAATATTACGTGCGATGCGGTTGAATGATATCTCGACGATATCTCGCTCGATAGAATCCGCAAAGCGGAATGAAACGATGCAGCTGCCAAGCGAAACGTGAAATCACAGAGCAGCGTTATTTGTCCTCACCGAATGGCGGTCGCCTGTGGCGCCCAGAGAACAACATTGACCGAGATCAGTCTGGAAATAAGTGGATTTCCTTTCGACTTGAAAGCTCACAATCGCGGCGAGAAAGGTTTCTCAGCAACGAGCCGTATTCAAGAACTTTATAGCGACAAAAAGCAGATGTGCGCGTGATTATGTTTCAGAAATTCTCTTTAGTGTTCAGCTTATTATAAAAAAACAACGATAAATGGTTGACATTAATTACGGCATAATCCGATAAATATAAAATGAAATATTAATTTGATCTAATTTTTATCTATTTTATTTTAATCTGCCATCGATCTTTTCTTAATCAATCTTTCATTCAATCATCAATCATAAATTTACCTCGTCATTGTACGTCAAAAGACAGATTAAATTAGTATATGTAACCATTTCTAATGACATTTTCTTGTCTTCATCGATCTTGACAAGGAAGCAGACATTTCGAATCCGTATCTCAAAGAGCCTGAGAGGAAGCGACATCTGGTACACCAGATATATAGGAAGAGAGGATTGTAAGAGGAGAGGGAGAAGGAGTAAGAGAAGGAGCATAAGGAGCCAGAGCAGGATTCCGTCGAGGTGAAGCGAGAGATGTTCTGAAGATCGATAACAAGCTGTATAACTCTAGCTTCCATCGACGGGAAAGAGAGACCATCCTTCCTCTCTCTCTCGTCCTTTCCCTTCCGTACCCACCTCGTCGCGTCTCCGACAAGCATCCTTTCATCAACGTCTCTGTGATCCAACTAAACTAACCTGACATCGACAAAACCAGGTCCGATGGGAGATAGACGCCTTTACGATACACACCTTAGCTCGCGGGGATATATATGTAATTGTATTGGTGCCCGTTTGCGTTGCCTTCACACACAATCTCGTGTAATAATGCCTTTCCGTACAAGATGCTTAGAATGTGTTCATAGGAATCAGAGAGGATCTCTGAGTGTGGATTAAATTTGTCGACAAAGCTGAGTTTTTATTTAACATAAAAAAATAGGAAAATATAGAATTAATTTCTAAAATTGAATTATGAGATTATCATTTTGCGTACGCACTAAAAACACTGGCTTAAACAAATATCGCGATATTTTTAAAATTTTTAATCTTCATTTT